AGTTAAACCCTGTACATTTGATATGCTTTTTAAAGTGATCGATACCAATGATTAAAAACAACATACATAGATGATAAAAAAAAACAGTTGAATCAGTACAGCAGGGGAAGAAGAATATTTGACAAGACGAACAAGTTTTCTTCATCTTCAGTTTAAAATGGCTAGTGTTAGGTCTAAATCTGATTATAGACGATTTCATACGGATAATATTAAAGAGTTATTATTGTCATGTGTCGCTGAGTCAAATTCCTCAACGGTAACGCCGATTAGCCCAACACTGTGAACAATAGTAATCATTCTCCGCCGAACCGAAGAATTGACATTGTCCGTTACGACATTCTTTGACAATAGCCTGAAATTAACCGTGAATTATTCAACCTCATACTTAAGCGAGACCTTCATTTAACACATACCCCTAAACTGTTACTGTTCCATCGTTGTGGCCCCGGTTTCTCGGATGACGTTTGGTCTTTGTAAAAGGTAGACCTGTGAACGACATTCATTAGAGAATTCATTGATGATAGCCAAAAGAAGTTCATTATGTAGTTTTGCATACCTCGAAAGATAAAGTGTACGATCCTTATTTGGATTAGTAGGCAACAGTTTGTTAACGCTCGCGTGACTTCCTCGATCGCTGGCAGTGTAAAATTTTGATTTACCAGCGCCGTAATTCATTTCACTACCAGTCTCGTCAACTTTATGATCCTGCAGGTATCTATAACGTATTATATTCGTTACGAAGTTATATATACATACATATTTGTTTTAGTATCACTGTAGAAAAAGTTAATGTGAAACCTTGCATGAGCACATTGAAGATAATTCTGAAGCATTTGATCCACGTACTGATGACGTCTACTTCTAATCCTTATACATAACAAACCTTCGGTCGGAAGTCCAGCCACCGTTGCTGGCGGGCTCTTTGGTCTCTTTGTTGTAGGCCATAGTTTTTTACTAACCGATTTACCGATAGATCCAAACTGTTTAGCAACACCCAGCAATTGTTTTGCTGTTTTAGATAATGAACCATCAGTATCGGTTAATCTTTCAATTTCTTCTGAAGTAAAATTTTGGTATTCACAGTCTAAGTACTCTCGTAATAAGATTTCCATCTAAATATAAGTTTTGTGTAAATGCATATTCGTAACCAAAAGGTGCAATTATGCTTCCAGTAAATAGTAGAACTAATTACCGTATCTTGTCGGCATGTTAAGTCACGAGACCCTTCATGCCAATCCCAGTCAGGTCCCGGATCTACCGCAAATAAAACGGGTAATAATTGACCTGTGTCTGGGTCTACTAAAGGTATGCTAACGCCTTCGCTGCAACGGTCGTCAAAATCACTCGAACCGTCGACAATAACAAGGGGAGAGAAGTGAGCAGAATGATATGCTAAAAGCAATGGAGTTCTATGACAACGAGATGGAGGTACTTCTAACGGGAGGTAGACACCCCCAAACGGAATTGGGGCTAAAGCTACACCTTCTGCATCCTTCAACATAGTCTCTGCTATAACTATAATAGGTCTCTTTAAAGCATGAGCCAAAGCTAACACGTGTACCTAAAAAAGTTGCACAACTGTTAGTGTTTCAAGAAGCTAGAACATACTATAAGAGAACAAGAAATGTTTCATACTTCTTCTAGACTTTGATATGAAGTTGCTGTTTGGTTTCTGAAAAGAGGAGAAGCCATATCTACAATGGTTTGCCATTCTGTCAACCATTCTGCCTCTGTATAAGATAATCCTGCAGCAGCATTTAAATCCATTTGCCTCCATTTCCATCTTCTAAACAAAGCATGTCTATACTCTCCTTTGGCTAAAGTATTATGCAATGCTTCCCTCAATGTAAGAAGCCTGTCATGAAAACCCCACATGCCTAGAGATGCTGCATGAAGAAGACAATTGCCATCTCCAGATGTTGCTAAAGGCCAAAGGACTCTGTTACTTCCATTTTTACCACCGCACCACCAATTCAAACGACCGGCAGCTTCCAAAGAAGTCAAACATCCTCCCTCGATCAGATCTTTCTCCAAAAATTGACGAAATGAATCTAGATAGAATTTTTTATTAAATCAACAACATAGAAAGAGATGGTGTAATCACAATTCATGTGATACAGTCCATGCAAAGTACCTGGATAAACAGTTAGATCAGGAAGAGAGAATGTAAATTCTGGAGTATCTAATGATCCTATCTGTGATCGAGCATAAGAAACAATGGCTGCATTTTCGGTTGCTCTAGATATACCTCTAGCCAATTTCTTTGTAGCGCCACTTCCATTTTCCAACGTGCTATTAGAAGTTGACTCTTTCTCCAAACCATCATACGGGGATAGCCCTACGTTCATCACCCTGCCTTAATATATCTGTAAACCAATATTTCATTTAATTCTCATGATAATTAATGTCTAATGGTCATATGGATACATCTAACAGTAAAAAGCAATGAATTCAACAGTATATTACTTCACAGCAATAAGACAATATACTTAACATCATTGCATAAATAATAAAATTAAAACCAAGACCATAGAGAATTTACATACTACATAATGAATACAATTATCAACATCAACAGCTACAAATAATCAATGCTGACAGCAAAGCAATCCAATTCTCGAGATTACGAAATATCGAAAGCAATTAAATTCAGAAATATGCAGATGCACGATTGCGTGTACACTGTGTATATGCGAATACATGTATCATCTATGCGTTTCATCTATGCACCTATATTGAATGCAGTTACCGAAAAAGTGCAAACCTTGGCCCGTATATTAAATTAGAGCAACGAAATATGGTGGCGGAGCGTTGTTAAATGGTACTTTAATTGGCTTGCGACGCACGATCCGTTCGTACGTTTTCTCATATTTCGTATTACAGCGCCCGTACCGAAGCCACTCCGCGGAAGGCTATCCGCGACGTATCGAGTAAGACTAAGAATCTGTTTGCACAGACTATGATATAAACACAACATAACCTAGACCACGGCAGCCTCGAAACTGCGGTCGAGTAGGAGGGCGGGAAGCGAATTATTATTGTTGCGCACAGAAGTCACCGTGAAACTTTAAACCGGTCACATGTCAACGAGACGAGGAGTACACCGTTCTTATTTACGCAGTACCGTGCCTGCCCACCAGCGGACAGTTCACGCGACCACGGTAGCGTGATCAGTTTGGTAAATTCAAGAAAACCATTCGCAGCTAATTGTCCCCCCTCATGATATGCACATCGGCAACCGACGGTTGCTAGAAATGCATTTGACCTTGAAAGTATGCGACACGCGTACACACCTATCCACCCACACCGACAAATGCCGCTCTTATACAGGGTGATCTGAAATTGTCAATAAATATTACGCTATTTATAGATTCTCGAGTTTCTGCTCTTTCGCGTGAAATAAATAGAACATACTTGACACAAGTACCATCAGACAGCTCCAAATGAACAATTCCAGATTTGTTCGCCTCACAGTCTCTGAAATGCGAGGAGGATATTTGATGACGTTTCCATGTGAAATCATTAAACAAACGTATTTATCCGTAGACGTTCGAAAATAATGGTCGCAGCCTGTCCAAACAAATTTCACTGCCAGGCACAAGCGAAAATTGGCAAAACGATGGAGAAGTCTAATTCACCGATTCGATATTTAAATTCTAGATGGCGGAACGTGCAGTGGCATCTAACGCCCTCGCGAACGAAATGTCACATACTTAAGGTACTGTAGGTACCTACATATCTTAGTAGGTATTAAGATACCTAGTAAACCTCGGTGACAATTTCTTCTTCAACTTCCGTTATACAAAATTAAAGCCAAAGTATGCACCCCAACGTGTAAATATCCAATTAAAAAAGAATCACACTAACACAATAAAAATACCAACGTAACGTCGGATCAGTAGAAAACAACCTTATCGAGGGTGTAACTATCAAGTAAGTGGTGCCACGGGTAGTGACTAACGCGTGTTATTTTATCGATCGAGATTTCGTATACATAACAATACTTTTTGCAAATCATTTAAAATGTTATCCCTCTGCAAATAAAGTAACAACGTAAGATAGATCAAGATCGTAACAGGAGCTAAGGAAAATAAGAATTTCATTTCTTATTATCCCTGCAACGTCCAAAAGATTCTATATAAATACGCGTATATTCTAAAATAAATATATGAAAACGGAATCATTCATGCGTCATCTTAAAAAACAATTCTTTTAGACTTTATACATTTCACAAAGAATTAAATTGCACCGTAATATACAGAGTGTCTCAACAATTGCAGTACAATCCAAATGAAGATGCTCTTTCATTCGAAAGCTAAGTCCAAAGTACTCTAACAAGTTTTCCTTTTTAACGAGTAAGCTTCTACAAGTTCTCTGATACACTCAGAAACCACAATAAATAAACCCAATTACAAATACTCAAACGAATCAACCAACTCTTCTCAAGCTTCATGTTCGGTTTCACCCAAAATGGAATGTCATACAACAAAATTCCATTTCTCGCTATCGCATCATCATTTTCAATCTCGTCATTCTTAATCGTCGTGTACCCTAAAAGCACCGTACAGTCCGTGCAGAAACCTCTCTGTAGCGTGGCTCGTGGAAACCAGAAGGCGATTAATAACGGAGACAGTCCTCGACACTGCTGTGACGGGTAAGGTTCGTAAACGGTGGCAGGGCGAAACGGTCGCGTCCGTCGGTTGCGCGGTGTGGCGGAGGGACGGCCGTAGTAAATTATCGGGAAATTAACAGCGTCGAGGTGGGTCTCGGGTACGGCCAATGAAAAATAAAAAAGAAACCGGTTGAATGCGTGAAGTGAGCTTTCGTTGCTGGGTGGGAGCGAGAGGGCGAGACGGGGTTGAGAGCGGCGCGAGTGAGAGAGAGAGCGCGAGGCGGACATATATGGTCGCGGGGTCCGAGAAGCTCTCAGGTTACGCCGACGGCGCTAACCGTTTTCACGATGATGCTCGCTATCTTCGTCGTTCCCTCCCTCTCTTGTCTTTCTCTTTCTCTATCCTCGCTCCCTCGGCTAGAGCTTTTCTGACGGCGTCCTTCTCTGACCAATTGGTTCGTCGATTGTCTCGCTCTTTCACGCGGGAACGGGGATATAGGCGTCCTCGTCGCGCCACGACCAAAAATATCGATGGTCGAGCACCAGTCACGGGTGAGAATGACAGGGAACGATGCGGACGTTGTTGGTGCGACCAGGATGAAACGGCGAGAGGGAAACGCGGCGAGGCGCGTCGTCGTGACGACGCGACGCGCGCGAGAACGGGTGAGGTTCCCGTTATTTCGAGATTATCGGGGATTGCCTGCTTTTTGGAATCGTGCCGATCGTCTCATCTCCACTCTCGATATCGAGTCGGATTCCCAATCTCGCGATACGCCAGCTAACAGAATTTTGTTCGAGCTGCCGACTTCTTTCTGCGACTCGTTCGCGTGGAAAGCCGCGGATAGCGGGGTCATGGGAGAGATGTTCGGTTTTGTACAGGTAACTGTGCAAGGATTCAAGAATGATGTCCGATTCCCGTTTTTTTTTCAATTCTCTCGAATTTTTCTCTCCTTAACAGGTGTTACTCCGGTCTGTTGATCGTTTGGATTCCTTGGTATTTTTTGAGGTTGTGATTTTAGAATGTAAGAAGCAGTTAAATGAAATTCGCTTGTTTACTTCGACGCGAGCGTTCACCTTTTATTCCTGAGAATACAGACAGATGCGTTACGATGGAAACGATGTAGTTAAATTTTGAAATATTCCTTTAGTTCAGGAAATCCGTGAACATCCTTTCTTGATACAAGACGAGATTCTTCTAACAGAGAAACGCCAAGTTCGCGATATACAAAGAAAACGGAGTAATCATGGTATATTACTGATTTGCTGGGAAAGAAACAAAACTAAAGATCTATAAGTTTCCGCGATACGTTTGATAAACGCAGATCGACCGTATAAAATTTCATATGAACATCACACCGAAATATTACTCGATGCAATAATAAAACGTTTAGAAGGAACAAACTGTTACAAATCACATGATACCAGACATTTTCTTGCGAGACACATTTTCCTCCGCTTCCTACAGTTAAGCATGCCGCACCCGCATAAACATCCGCAATTTATGCTTATTGTTGCAATAACAGGTCGATATATTTACTCTAGAATTTCACGAAAGCCTTTGTTTCGAAACGAGATTACGTCTACCACCTTCTATAGCGCGTCTTAAAATACACGGTAAAACTCGACGGTAGATAATTCTTTCAACAATAAACAGTGACAAACAAAAAGTATACATTGAATTATTTCATGCGCCAGCTGTCCGCTAAAAATCTCTAAGCATTTTCACTCGAAAACGTCTCCTATAAATCCACGCCGCGTATTTTGAAACGCCCTGTAGCCCTGTTATAGAATTGTCAGATTGTACACTGTCGGTGAATAATACGTGTCTGAGGATATTGAGTAACCGCGTGGGAGTCGCGGTGGGCCAAGAATAGACGTGGACGAGAAATGCAGAATCCTCGGGTCTTGATCGTCAGGTTTATCATTTCTTGCCGCTCCTCGATATTGTCGATCGATCGATCCTCGAGCCGGCGTGCCCAGAAAGAAACCCGTTTGCCGGGAAAGTTTATTTATCCCCGTCGTTTGAAAAGTTGCAGCCGAAACGATCCCGCGATCTATCAGAAATCCCGGACTCCCTGGTCCGTCTTCGAGGCTGCTCGCTAAAATCTCGTGTTTTTTCTATCCCCGTCTCTGCAACCGGTATTTATTTTCGATAAGGTTTTACGCACGGCCCCGGGGAACCGTTCACGACATTTCTCGTAAAAATATTCCCCGGTGGCCGCTTTTTTTACGCGATGACACGAACAAAGAAGCCCGGCTGGCCGGAACGGGACGATCCGGAATATAATTCCGACATTCCCGAAATGGTCCCGGTTGCGTGCGCGTGTCGTTGTCCCTGTTCGAGCGCGCGGGCAACATTGTTGACGACGTTGTTATTCGAAGATGCAATTTCTCCCGAAATAGACGTCAGCTCGGTAAATAGACCGACGTCGACGCACGCGACAAAAATCCTCGACGACAATTTCGATACTCGCGTGGCACTAGCGTCGAACTTTCGTAAGTAGGAGGCTCGCGCGTTTTACGACCGATCGACGCAAGACGTTTCAAGCGCCATGCGCAGCTGCCGCGCGTCTTCACGGGTCAATGTTAGAAATGGAAACCAAAGCTGCACCATACGAATGCTAATAATACGGTTTCATTACGTTTAACCATTGAGATACAGAAGGAAATGTATCGTATAAATGTAAAGGGCAAAACAAGAAACGGGTGCCATTCTTTTTATTCCAGCGTGGACGATGGGGGTTCGACGAAACGGACACCTCGGTTACATTTGTTTCCAAAGTATACGTGCACTTTGCGTACGGAAGTTGGTATAGCGAGAATTATATGGATATCGAGCCGTAAAAGTCTGAAATCGGTACAGGGTTATAAGTTACGACGTATTACGTTGTACGTTGGTTAGGTATCAAAGAGATTCCTCGCGCGCAAATATATTTTCCCTTGACTAGAGCCATTCAGCTTTCCGCTACATAAAAGGCACCAGAGACTTACCTTTCCTCGGTATTAGGCGACCACCGATGGTGAACATTGTACATTAGAACTCGTATCGTCTATTAAGAATAAAACAGCTGTTCATAGGGGAGAAATCCTGGTGTAGGGTGGAGCAGGAGGTGGCAGTTCGATGATACGCGGTTGTACGCATAATAGGGGCCGGTATCTTGTCCTGTCCTCGCACTCATAACATCTATTTCCAGAGCGGACCGACGACTAAGTTTAGATCGGCTGTTCCATATACTCGAGCCATTCGCCCACTCGGGTCCACTCGGTTGAACAAAATCTGATAAACGAACAAATAAGTGTGATCCGCGCCTAAATAGCCGGTCTTTATAATTTCTCGTTTCTCTATCTTTGTTCTTCTTTCATATACGTATAGTCTCTTTTCATTCGCCTAGGTTGGTTTTTGTAGGATCATTAATACGTTTCGAATGGATCAGGATTATGGGTCCGAAGTGAACGAATCCTAATTTTTGATTGTGGTTCTTAATAGCGAATTTTCAAAGAAATATCCTAGTTTTTAAAACGACACGGCGGTTGCCATAGCGATATTGTGGTTCTTGAAGTTTGCACAGTGTATAAGCAACATACTGTAGTTCCTAAGGTGATATATAGTTTCCAAGACAATACTCTAGTTCCCAAGATGATGTTGCAGCTCTCAAC